AAAGCCCCTTGGTAGTCATGGGAAGCCAGGTCAGCCCAGGACACATCACATAAATGACAGCCGGCAGTTCCCCTCATTGGCACAGAGTGACTGCCAACAACCTGCTCACACAGAAGAGAAAACACAGTTATAGGCAGATCATTTGGCTTGCAGGAGAGGAAGACAGGGAACGACAAGTTTGGCACCTATGTCACCTCTGGAGTTTTATCAGTTATCTACTATTTAACAGCAAACAATGTCATTCCCAAGCAAATACCCCAGCCATTCATTCAGTAAACATTGGTTGAGAATCTACTGTGCGCCAAGCTGCACTCTAGGTGTAGGAGACGCAGCTGAGAACACAAAGGACACTGCTCTCCTATCCACTTATTCAAGAAACACTGTGCGCCAGCCACTGTGCAAAGTGCTGGGAAAAGCAGTGAAAAGCAGACGTGGTCTCTGCCTTCATAGAGATGACAGTCGAGGCAGGAGACAGACATAAGAAACAGTTATCACGACGCAGATCAAGCTTGCGGTGGGGGAAGACAGGGAGCATTGCTTAAACAACTTGTTCTTGCTCTCAGTTGATTATTACATACCAACACATCAGTGTTCATGTGCCGAGCTGGTGGAGGATGCAAGGATCTTTGCTATGTTCCATGCCCTACTGGGGCTTAGAGCTCTCAGAGAGCCTGCTACATGCATGAAGAGGCTAAACAGCAAGGGAAGAGGCGTCTTCAGGAAACTGCTCAGAAACTGAAGCCGCGAATAAGCTCTCAGAGGTGAGCATGTTGGCTGAGGGCAGGACGGGGAGGTCCAGTCAGGTCAGCCTTCTACTTCAAACCCACCACTGTGGTTAGCGGCCACTCCAGCCTCAGGAACCCACTAACCTGCTTTCTGTCTCCCCGGGTTTGCCTTTTCCAGACATTTAATACAAATGGAATTACATGACAGAACTTTGCAGGCAGCGGGTGCAGAAAGTGTCCTAAAAGTGGACTAAGGTGATGTTGAGATAGGTCCGTACTTTCACTAAAAATCATTGACGTGTACACTTAAAACAGGTAAAGTTTATGGCATGTAAATTACACCGCAATAAAACCATTCGATAAACAACAGCACAACCTTCCAGTGGCTTCCTGTTTCACTAGGGGTGAAATCCAAACTCCCTTCCCTGTAGCCCTGCAGGATCTGGCCCCTGCCTGGCCCCCACCTGGCCCCTCCCCATGCTCTGCCCCTCACTGTCTGATCCTCCTCCTCTCCCCAAGCTCTGTCCCATCGCCAGGCTCTGCAGTGCCCTCTGCCTGCACGGCTCTGGCTCCATCTCCCACTGTTGTCCCCTCTTTTACATTTTCTTTCATAAATGATCTTCTTTGCCACCCCCCAGGGTCATTCCTTTTCCGTCCAGCTTCTCCCTGGCTCTTACCCACCCACTTGCACTGTTTAGTATCTGTTTCTGCATTAAAATCTTGGCTCTGCAAGGGCAGGTCTGAGCATCCAGCACACAGGAGGCGCTCAGTCTACTGACTCTACAAAAGATGTTGGGACCCTGGTGAGGGTGCTGAGGGTACCCAGGTATTTCAAATGGAGAGTAAATGTGAGCCAAGGAGAGAGCCTTGGGTTAGCTGGTTTGGCTAGAACTGTGGGTTTGGGGCTTGCTAAAAGATAAACTGAGACTTATTAAAAATGTTGAGTTTATTTGAGCAAAAATTGATTTGACTGGGTGGTTCCACCGTGGAAGTGGCTAGAAGCCACGGGGAAAGATCTGTATAGAAAGAATGAGGGAGCAAAGAAAGGAAATTGATCAGCTATAACTTAAAACCTGGTTGGCTACGTGGGATTGGTTGTTCTTAGCGTTTCAATTTCATAACCTGGAAGCATTTACAGGCTTGGATTTTGGTTTGTGTATGTAGACAGTGTTTAAAAAGAGAGAGAGAGAGAGACAACAGGCCCACAATGGAGTCACGCTAAGCCTCATGTCAGCAAACCAAGACTTAATATCTAACCTCATGCAGTTTCAGCCTATCTCAGGAATGTGGTCTTTAACCAGTCAATCTGGAATTACCTGGTCAGCACAGTGAGGTAATCTACCTGATTACCTCTTTCCCCTGCTCTTCCCCCAAAGGCAGTGTTCTTACCTAAAACAATCCATTCTTTATCTCCCCTTCTTCTGCCTATAAAAACCTTCTATTTTGTACAGCTCTTCAGAGTTCCTCTGTCTTTGCCAGATGGGTTAAATCATGATCTTTAATAAAGTCAATATGATCTTTAATAAAGCCAAGATGACCTTTAAGTTTACAGGTGAATTTTGTTTTTTAATAGCGGCCACATTAGAGCCGCATCATTAAACAATGGCCTCCTTGTTTAATTAATGTAACAGGCTGCTTAGTTCACATGGAGGATTTTCATGCCACTTATGTGCTCAGAATTTGGCAAAGGAGTGACAGACATCAAACTTAGGAGGACCTCAAAGGTCAAAACTCACCAGAGACTGCCTGTGCCTGCATCTCCCAACTGATGCAGAGAGAAGTGTACTTCTGGGGGCAGGGAAGTTGGTGGCAGGCTTTGGCTTGTTTGCTGAAGATTTCTGGTAGCGTGGATATAAAGATCAGAAAGACATAATCCCTCTCTGTCAGTGCATTTGCATCAGACCGGATACCATTTCAGCCCCCGTTTAGAATGTGGTTAGCTGAAGTGAACTGACGGTGATACCCTCACAGGCCTCAGAGCCACTGGAGGGGGCCCATTTGAAGTCTCTAACTGTATTAGTTCTGAAATTAAGGTGTCAGCAGGGCCAAGCTCTCTCTGAAGACTTGAGGGGAGAATCTCCCTTAGCTTCTGGGAGTTGCCGGCCACCGTGGCCATTCCTTGGCTGGACGCTGCATCCCTGCAGTCTGTCTGTCTTCACATGGCCATCCCCCCTTCACATGTCTCTCTCTCTGCACGTCTCTTCTCTTCCTATAAGGACACCAGTCAGACTGGATTTAAGGCCCACCCAATTCCACTACGACCTCATCCTAACTAACTGCATCTGCAAAGACCCTCTGTCCAAAGGTCACATTCTGAAGTTCTGGGAAAGACATTAATGTGGGGGCACATTATTCAATCCAGTGTGAAACGTGACAAACTAAAACAAAAATGGAGACAGCAGGGCTAAGAGAAACAACAAAAATGGAGCTGGGAGGCCATCAAGGTGCAAATCTCTCTGCCGGACTCCAGTCACAAAACACTCCAAACAACTTAGGTAAATGAATAAAATACCTGCTGTTCGCTTTAAGAACCCTAAACTTTGTCAGCAACTCAGAGCACAATTTGGGTTACTACCCAAATCTGTGTTTCCCAGATGCCATCCCTAAGGCCCCAAATAAACACAACTGTTTTACAATTCGGCCTTTTTTTTTTTTTTTTTTGATGGATTGATACCAGTACCCTGACCCTTACTGGTTCTAAGGGACAGTGGCTCAAAGAGGGCCCTGAGTTCAAGAACTAATGGTGCTGACTGTAGACAAAAAGGGAAAAAAGGGCTGGCTTGGCTCTCTAGTACCCACGCATGGTCAATGCAGTCCAGGGAGATCTCCCTGCACACTAGGTGAGACCTCAAGCTGGGAAAGCGTTCTTGACTCTGATGGAGAAAGAATTCACTAGCAAGTCGAGCAGGTACATGCAAAGAGTAGTTTAACAGGGTGAAAGGACACCTCTAAGAGGGACTGCAGGCACGCTCCAGAGACAAGCAGCACAGTGGTAGCGACTGGGTGGTCCTAAAACTGACTTGTTTAAGCGGGGGGTGGAATATTCATCGGGATAGGTGGGGTCTTCTCAGAACTGGAAGGGGATCTCAGAACTGAAATAGGGTGACATCCTATTTTTGTCCTTAGATGGTCTGCCTGGGAACTGTGGTAGTGCCAAGGAGCGTGATTTTTAGTATGCTAATGAGCATATATGTTGATGTGAATCAGGGTCAACTTCTTCTCCATGCTGGAACCAGTTTGGGCAGATTTATTATCTACACCCTCCCTCCCCAGCCAGAACAGTTTACATGGAATGTTTACAATACAAACAAGCATCTAACAGAATGTAAACCCAGCCAGATGTAAATAACACAGACGTCCCCCACTCCCCTGTGCTGCTCATGTCTGGCTCTCTACCTACTGTAACACATTGTGCTGGCTCTGGGGTGCCCACACATTGCACTGGCACCAAAAGGCCTCCTAACCCTGGACACTGTCCTGGACCAGAGGCCTGAAGAGAATTAGTCTCTCAAAGGAAATGTAAAGCACAATGTACAAAGTAACTAGCTAGCTTTAGGGGTTTCTGACCTGTGTAGGTGCATAGGGTCTGCACATGAAGGGTCCCACCCTTGCTTTCACCATCTTCTCTCACCATCTTGAAATTCTTAATTTACAAACAAGGATCCCCACAAATCATGTAGCTGACCTGCCTGACCTCTTCCCAAATGTCAAGGTCAGAAAAGACCAAGGCTTTTTCCTGTTCCAGATTCAGGGTAACCAAAGAGACATGACAACTAAATCCAGCTCCTGGATAGGTTCCTGGATGTGGCGAAAATAGCTCTTAAGGACATTATAAGGACAATTGGGAAATCTGAATGTGAACTGCGTATTAGTTCCTATAACTCTATCAATGTGAAATGTCCTAATTTTACTTGGCCTGTGGTTTTGTAAGAAAAAGTGTTTGTTCGAAGAGGATACGTACTGGATCCTGATGACTGAACTTTGTTGCAAATAGTTTTAAAAATGTACATGAATAAAGTGCAAATGATCAAATAAATGGGGCAAACTTTAACCAGCAAAGGTAAGTGAAAGGTATAGGGGTTTTCTTTATACTACACTTGCAAGTTTCTGTACGTTTGAAATTACATCAACATGGAAAGTTCCCACCCCACCACTCCCAGCGCCCTGTCCTCTCTAAAAAAAAACAAAAAAACAAACAAACAAAAAACAGTAAATTACAGGACGAGATCTCGCGATATCCGAGGAGGGTAAATAGTTTTGGCCGGACTGAAATTTGCCACCAGAAGTCTTGAGTCACGTGGGGAGGGCCCACGTGACCGGCGGCCTGTGTTCAACATGGCGGCCTCCATGGGTCTCTGGTCTCTCTTCCTCCTTGCAGTGTTTTGCTTCCTCAGGCCGGCGTCTGGCGGCCTCAGCCCCGGGTAAGTACAGCCCCCGGGGGGGGGGGTGAATCGAGTTCTGGGGTTCCCCCATCCGAGGCACAGTCCTCCGAGCTCTGCGCCCCTCCTGTTCCCGCAGACCCTCCCGCGACGACGACCTGCTGGTGCCCTACCCGCGCACGCGCGCGCGCTCCGCCCGGGACTGTACGCGGGTGCGCGCCGGCAGCCGCGAGCACGAGAGCTGGCCGCCTTCCCCCGCGACCCCCGGCGCCCGCAGCCCCGCCGTGCGCACCTTCGTTTCGCACTTCGTCGACCGCGCGGTCTCCGGCCACCTGACGCGGGCTGCCGAGCCCCTGCGCGCCTTCTCGGTGCTGGAGCCTGGCGGGCCCGGTGGCTGTGCGTCCAGGCGCCGCGCCACCGTGGAGGAGACGGTGGGGGCAGCCGGCTGCTGCGTCGCCCAGAACGGTGGCTTCTTTCGCATGGACACGGGCGAGTGCCTCGGGAACGTGGTGAGCGACGGGCGGCGGGTGAGCAGCGCCGGGGGGCTGCAGAATGCGCAGTTCGGGATCCGCCGCGACGGGACCCTGGTCACCGGGTGAGAAGGCAGGAATCCCCGTGACTGTCGAGGGTACACGACCTGGGATTTGTGTTGATTTGTGTTGTAGCCGTGCTTCTGTTCAAGTCACCTTCGCAGCAAGCAAGCCGAGCCTCCGTTTGCTCGTCTGCAGAATGAGATAGTCATACTTCACTTGCAGGATTTATTCTTCATCTAGTGTCACTGAGCATTTGCTTTGTGTCCAGCAGTGTTCTTTGCGGGAATATCGCACAAAACAAGCACAGACAACTTTTGCCTTCATGGACCTCCCTTGTTACTGGCAAAAATAAATAAAGGCTAGGAGAACAAGTTTAGATTGTGTACAATCAGGAAAGCAAGGAACAGGGTGAGCCAATTATAAATAAAGTGTTATTTTTTAGGGAGGGTGATCAGGAAAGGCCTTTCTGAGTAATTAACTTGCGTTGAGACCTGCAGATTAATCACAAGTCAGCCAACGTCAGAAGTGGAGGAAGAGCATTGTAGTTACGAGGAGCAGCGGGCACTAAGGCTCAGAGGTGCATAATTGGTGTGTGTGAAGGACTGAAGGAAGGAGCAGAATATCAGAATGACAGGACTATGACTGTTTAAACATTCGCTCTACCTCTGGCTGCAGACTAGGTTGGAGGGGCCAGAGTAGAAGCAAGGGCGCCAGTTAACAGTTGTTGCAGGCATAGGGTGATGGCCGAGGAGACTGAGGGCCGTAGATGGAGTTGAGGTCTGTTGAGGATGGTTGTTTCTATTAGGTGAAGTGCACGCTGTTTACAAAGGCTGCGCTCCTTTGTCCAGGCGGGTTCCTGGGGTACCAAGGGGAGTCAAGCAGCTGGGCTGAGATGGGGAGGGAGGAGGGTGCCTTACTGCCCCTGCTGTTGAGTGAGTATCATGCCTTACCTGGGCCCAGGTACCTGTCCGAAGAGGAGGTGCTGGACACCGAGAATGCGTTTGTGCAGCTGCTGAGTGGGGTCGTGTGGCTGATTCGCAATGGGAGCGTCTACATCAATGAGAGCCAAGCAGCCGAGTGCGATGAGACCCAGGAGACAGGTTGGGAGTTAGGGTAATTAGCACAGCCCCCCTGAGAACCAGGACCAGTGAGGGGGAGGTGGGGAAGCTAGGCTGAAGTCCTTCAGCAAGTACATTCTAGACTGGGGATCAGTGGGGATTAAGACAGATAAGGTCCCTGCTCTTGTGGAATGTATAAGAAAGAAAATAAATACAAAATATGCTGCAAAGAAATGGTAAGTGTTAAGAAAGATAAAGTTTGAGGAAAGGGGATTGATGGGGGAAGGGACCTATGATTCACAGGCTCTGGGGGTGAGGCCCAAACCTGTGGGTTTTAATGAGCCCCCAGGTGAGTCTGATGGACACTTGAGTTTGAGAACCACCGGAATGCAGAAGATTGGAGTGGGGAAGGGACACCAGGCTCTGATGTTTTACACTGAACAGTCAGGGAGGGCCTCACTGAAGAGGTGACCTGGATTGCCTTGGGAAGAGCTGGGGAGAAGTGCAGTCCAGCCAGAGGAAATGGAGAAAAGCCTGCAAGCAGTGAGATGGGTGCCCCAGGAGATGAGGTTAGGAGGCCGAGGTGGCCGTGCTGAGCCTTGGCTTGTGTTCTAAGAAGAGTGGGAGCCATTAGAGGGTTCGCACCTGGAGATGTTGCTTGATTCACACCTCAGAAGAGCTCTCTGACTACCGTACAGAGTCTGGGGGGAGGGGACAGAGGGGAGGCGGGGAGACGCACATCCAAGCAAGCTGCTAGGTGGCGTGGGCTGGAGGATGGGGAGTGGCCGCAGACTGACAAGAAGTGATAGGCAGAGCCCAGGAGGCTTCCGGAGGGTCCGGTGGTCAGCCAGACTTCTCTTCCTTCAGGTTCATTTACCAAATTTGTGAATGTGATATCGGCCAGGACAGCCGTGGGCCACGACCGGAAGGGACAGCTGGTGCTCTTCCATGCGGACGGGCAGACAGAGCAGCGGGGGTGAGCGCCGGGGACCAGGGCCTCCGGGCCTGGGCTGAGTCCTGCTTTGAGGAACTTCAGCCCACTGACAGCCACGCTTGTGGCCCCCAGCTGTTCCCTGGGGATGTTCACACCCATCCGTGCCCCATCCTTATCAGCTGCACACTGCCTCTCGGTCTCCCCAGCTTAGGCCTCCTCTCTCCTGAGCCCTGGTTGGGATGAGGGGAATAATCACAAGTTCTCAGGGAGAAGAAGACCTTGGTTCCGATCCCAGCCCTGCCATCTGCTCGCTGGATGGCCACAGACGAGTCATCCAACCTCTTTGAGCCAGTTGCTTCCTTCTTAAAGAGTTAGTTCAATACCGCTGCACAACAAATTCGCACAAACAGCACCCGCTTGTTGGATCACAATTCTGTAGAGTCTGGAAGGCTCAACTGGGTTCTATGTTCAGGTCATCTCACAGACGAAAGCAAGCAATTCACCAGGCAGGGTGCTTATCGGGAGCTTCCAGGGAAGAATCCTCTTCCCAGCTCTTTCAGGTCGTTGCCAGAATGCAGTTCCTCGTGGTTCTAGAACTGAGGCCTGTGTCTCCTTGCCGACTGTCAACGCCTTCAGGGCACCTACATTCCTTCTGCTTGTACCCACTCTGTCTATGAGTCACAAAGGTGTTTCAGAATTCCCCCAATACCTTAGTATTCCCAATGTCTCTCACTTTCCCTTCTGCCACCAACTGAGAAATGTCTACTTCTCAGAGCTCTTGTGATGGCATTGGGCACACCTGGAGAATCCAGGATGGTGTTCCCACTTTCAGACAGCTGTGCCCTGTAATATAACAGAAATGATCTCATTATATTCTAAGCTTCTGGGAATCAGGGTGGGACATCTTTGGGAGACCCATTTAGAAATTTGCCAGCCGTAGTGGAGCCATCAGCAGCCCTGTCCCTGTGCCGCAGCATTAACCTGTGGGAGATGGCGGAGTTCCTGCTGAAACAGGATGTGGTCAACGCCATCAACCTGGACGGAGGGGGCTCTGCCACCTTTGTGCTCAATGGGACCTTGGCCAGTTACCCATCAGATCACTGGTAAGCTTGCCAGAGTCCCCTTCTGGAGGTCCATGTCTACGCCCATTTCCAACAGTCTAATTTGTCTCATTCAATAAATACTGTGTACCTACTGTGTGTAGTGAGGAGGAAGAGCCAAGATCCCTGCCTCTGACTGTGCACAGGAGGAGTGTGGAATCATTCACAGTGTACCACTACTACCCAAACCAGTAAAGGGGGCTTGATTGGTCAGGAAAGACCTCTCCAAGCTTAATGAAGCATAAGCTGAAATCTGAAGGATGAGGAGGTGGCAAAGCAGGGGTGAGAGAGTCTTCTGAGCAGACAGAACAGCATGTGCAAAGGCCCTGGGATTGAAGGGATTGTGGGGTGGTGGGAAGAATCTATGAAAGCCAGAGAGCCTATAAAAAAATAAAAAGTGGAGAGAGGCAGCACTCGGCTGCAGCAGGGGGCATGAGGGGCAGCTGGGAATGGCCAGCACTGTTCCTCTCCTCACATGCCGTGTCACTCTGCAGCCAGGACAGCATGTGGCGCTGCCCCCGCCGTGTGTCCACTGTGGTGTGCATACATGAGCCCCGCTGCCAGCCGCCTGACTGCAATGGCCGTGGGACCTGTGTGGAGGGGCACTGCCAGTGCACAGGGCGCTTCTGGCGGGGTGCCGCCTGTGACAGGCTGGACTGTGGCCCCTCCAACTGCAGCCAGCACGGGCTGTGCTCTGAGAGTGAGTGGGCTCAGGGGAAGCTGCTCTGACCCGTGCCCCCAGCCCCCACTGCCCCAATGCACCCCGCCCTCACCTGGCCTTCTCTGTCTTGTCTTGGCAGCTGGCTGCCGCTGTGAAGCTGGGTGGACAGGGTCCAGCTGCAGTGAAGGTAAAGCCCCCAAGCAGGCCCCCTCCCCAGCCCTGGACACCCAGGGAGAGGGTGAGGTGGCAGCTGCCTTTAGCCCCACCTGTTGTCTCTTGTGTCTTACCTCACGTGTAAGTCACTGCATTTGTGTCCTGCAGCTGCTGCAAAAATTCCACAAACTGTGTGGTTTGAACAAAAGAAACATATTCTCCCAGTTCTAGAGACTGACATCCAAGTTCAAGGTTTCAGCCGACCCATGCTCCCTCTGAAAGGTCTAGGGGAGGACTCTTCCTGCCTCTTGCAGCTCCTGGCAGGGCCCCAGGTTCTTGGCTTGTGGCCTCAGAGCGTCAGTCTCTGCCTCTGCCCATGCATGGTCTTCTCCCCTGTGTCTCAAATCTCTCTCCATTCTCTGACAAGGATCCCGGGTCATTGAATTTAGGATCCACCCTAAATCCAGGATGCTCTCATCTTGAGGCCCTTAATTATATCTGCAAAAACCCTATTTCCAAATAAGGCCACATTCATGGGTTCCGAGGATAGGACGTGTCTTTGGGGGATGCATTCGGCCCACTTGCTCTCAGTGCTTAGCCCTGCAGTGGCTTGCTCTTCCACTCAGAAACCTGAGCCCCCCAGCATGGGCAGCCAGGTGCTACGGCCCCCCTCTGCCCACTGCCTCCCGGTGCCCCTCCTCGGCCGCATCCTCTGTGGTCTCCCCCTGTCAAGTGCCCGCCACCCCCTTCCAGTGGTCTGCTGCTGTCACGCAGGTCACATCCTCTGTCTTGTGGCCTCACTTGTACTGTGATGTTTGCTTCCTGGCTCCTGGCCACCTGCCCTCCTAAACCGAAAGCTCTGGGAGGGTGTGGGCTCAGGGCCTGCCCCATGACTTCATCTCCTGGGAAAGTACATGAACTCACCAGCGACTTGGGGTGACTGAGATGCATTTGCAGTCCTGTTGGCCCAGGCCTTGGAGGGGCAGGGCCAAATTTTGCAAAGCCGCCCCTTCGCCCATCACAGCTTGCACCAACGGCTCCTTCGGGGAGGACTGTGCCAGGAAGTGCCAGTGTCAGAATGGAGCTGCCTGTGACCCAGCTCAGGGGACCTGCACCTGTCCCCCCGGCTTCACTGGAGACACCTGTGCTCACAGTAAGCTGGATGGGCCCCATGTCAGCCAGCAGTACTGCCCAAGGGCACCTCCAGGGTCTGGCCTGGGGGAGCAGGGTTAGGGGGTTGCTTCTGCTGCGGTCCAGCTCTGCATACGCCTGGGGCCCATCCTGTCAGTGCAGAGAGGCCCCGTCACCAAAGCCTCCACCTCTGTCCCTCTGGCTCCTCTCCACAGAGTGTCCCTTTGGCTGGCATGGGCCCGGCTGCCAGCAGCCATGTGAGTGTGAGCACCAGTGTTCTTGCGACCCCCAGACTGGCAACTGCAGCCTCTCCCCACCCGCCCTAAACAGCATCCTCTCACAAGGTAGGTATGGTCCCTCCCAGACCCCCTGGGGGAGGAGGGGACAGACCCCTCCCTCCAAGCCCCTCAGCCACCCGCTGGTACCTTACAGTGAAGCAGTGTCTGCAGCCATCCGAGGCCACCGTGAAGCCAGGGAAGCTCTCCCTCCTCACTGGGTAGGTGCTTTGGTGGGACCAGGCAGGGGTGGGAGGAATCCCCCCTCCACCTTCAAGGCCTGGCCTCTTTGCCAGGGACTGGGCAAGGCTGGGAGGTGGCACTGGACGTCCATGGGACATTTCTTGATGTAAGCAGAGGGAGAGTCACAGCCGATGCTGCAGCCCCTGAGCCATCCAGGGGGACGGTGTGGGGGGACCTGGGTCCTGCCCTGGGGGGAGCGTTGGGGGCGGGGTGTAGGCGCCCTCCCCCTGGCCACCAGGCTCACAACTTGGTCCCTCTGCTCTTAGTGCAGAAGAACTGAACTCTGAGGGACTCTCAGCATTTCCCAGGCCCCTCTGTGTGCTCAGGCCTTGTGTTAAGGGCTTTATCTCTTATTTTCTAGTGCAGTTGGTTTCAAACTTGACTTCGGGAAGGGTGTATTAAAAGAGAATGCTAGACTCCCCACCCCCGGAGTCGCTGCCTCTGGGTCCCGGGTGGGGACCAAGGATCTGCATTTCCAGCACAATCCCCAGGGATACTGATGCTGCTGGTCCAGAGACCTGCCTTCTCGTGGTTCTCACCTCTCGTGGCCCAACCCCGGGTGCCCGGCTCGCCCCAGCCCCCTTCATTCTGGAGGTGGGAACCAGGCAGAGGCAGCACCGGGGCGCTTGTCACTAAGGCAGATCCCAGGTCCCTCCTTCTTGACCCTGTGAGTCAGGGGTGAGGCCCTGAAGGCCCAGGACCACCCCCAGAGAACTCCTGAAAATGTGCTTTGAAAGCGCACAAGAACAGACAGTGGATCCCGGGAGCCCTCTGCCCCGGCCTCAGGGTGGGACGCTTGAGTCCCACCCCCAGCCCCATGCAAACCTGAAACCCGTGGGCGTTCACCTTGACATTGGGGGCTCCAGCCAAGATTCAAGTGAAGGAAGAAAAATCGTTGAAAGACCCCCTCCTGCTCCCTGCCTTGGAGGAAGGGGTGCTGTTCTCCCCGCCCTGGAGCAGAGCCCCGCCTCTTATCAGCACCGCCTGGGCCACAGGCTGCAAATGGGTGCCGCCCGGGGCATCGTCAGGTCCCCAGCTGTATTTTATTGGGCATGCACAATTTAAACATTTTTAATATCAGCAAGGTCTGAAAATCACATTTTGTTTTTCTTGATTGCTCTTGCAATATTGATGTGGCAGCACCGGCCTGTGTCCCACGTAGCTACTATCACCGCTGCTCCCTGACCGTGTGTGGGGTGTGCCCCCAGCCCTGCCGCCCATTTTGTCCGTGACAGACCCTGTGTGGTCCCCGGAGGCCCCTGTTCTGGGTGGACGGGAGGGAGCCCCCTCCAGCACCGCTCAACAGCCCCGTGTGTGGTGTCTCTCCTCCCCCAGGACCACCTGGCTGGCCCTCACCCTGGCCCTGGTTTTCCTGCTGCTGATCAGCTCCGCGGCCAACGTGTCCTTGCTGTGCAGCTCAAGGGCAGAGCGGAGCCGGCACCTGGATGGTGCCTACGTGTACCACCCGCTGCAGGAGATGAATGGGGAGCTCCTGGCGGCGGAGAAGGAGCAGCTGGGAGATGCCCGCAACCCCTTTAAGGACTGAAGCCTCAGCTGCCCATCGTGGCCTGTTCTGAAGGCTCACTTCACAGTCCAGCTGCTACAGGGGAAATTTGAAGCCACCGGCCATCTGTATGGTCTCGGCCCCAAGTGCCAAGCCAGGCTTCTCGCGGCCTGCGCCTCAGCCCCTCACTGGCCACCTGCTGTGGCTGTGCAACCCTTGCGAGACTGGGCTCCCTGGAGAGACTCCGCCCCTTCCCACCGCCCGTGTGCTGCCAGCGAGGCCTGTGCCCCCAGCGCCTGCTGCACTGCCAAAGAGCCTGCGCGTCCTGGGCCAGACGCCCCTGGAGGATGGACCCCCTCCGTGACCGAGTGGCAGGGTCCAGGCTGCCCGCGTGGGCAGGGGTGGTTTAGAGAGACAATGGCCACCTCAGGGGACCCTTTTCTACAGACCTCATCCCGGAATTTGCCAGCTAGAATTGTTATTTCCTGTCACAGGAAGCTCCTTGGAAGGGCTGGGTCATGGAATCATGTTTACAGCTTTCTATTTTGTCCTGCTGCTGAGAGGGTTTTTCTACCACTTGAATAAATTGACATGATAGAAGGACCACTCGGATGGCATCTGAATTTTGGGTGCTCTTAGGCCTAAGCAGGTGGGGCTGCTTAACCTGAGTTTGGGGCCAGGGGTTATATAAACAGTTCAAAGCATGTACGGCTTCCTGATTTATTTTGTCTAATCCAGGGCTTCTCGCCTCGGTGGGTACACAGCTGCCTGGAGATCTTGTTGAAATGCAGATTCTGGCCTGGGGCGGGGCCGAGAGTCTGCGTCTCTTAATCTCCCAGGTGACCTGAAGCAGCTCGTGTCTGGACCACACTTTCAACAGGAAAGATTTAGTCCGCGCTGTAACTTTAGAATTTAAACCAGTGAGCAGCATTTGAAAGTTGAGATTAACAGCTCCAAATGTCTGGTTTCTGTTCAAGAGAGCAAGCAGGCTGCCCCGGCTGAGGCCCTTGGGGCAGCAGCCTGGCAGAGCTCAGAGCCCACCGCCCCTTCTGGCCCGTCCCCTCCAGCTCATCAAAGCCCCAGTGGCCGGCTTCCTACGCCTGTAACCTGCCAGCCTGTGAGTATCTGTGCCCAACTCATAGCTATGAAGGGTCTTTGGAAGTGCTTGGCAGCCTCCTCTGCCATGAATATACATCACACTGTGCTTAGCAACTTTTTTTGGAACAAGAGATGGGGGAGGTGCGGCAGCTTTAAACAGGTCCCCACATGGAGCCATGCATACAATGGGCTGAATGTATGCGCCTCCCCAAGATTCCGGTGTTGAAGTCCTGACCCCAGTGTATTTGGAGGTGAGGCCTTTGGTTTGATTAAATTATGTGGGTTTCCATCTGGTCTTGAGGGTAGTGCCCCATAATGAGAGGGAGGGACAGGTGTGCACCCTCTACACACACACACACACACACATACGCAGGTGCACACCCTCTACACACACACACACACCACCATGTGAGCACAGCAAGTTGGCAGCTGTCTGTAAGCCACCACACACACACACACACACACACACACACACACACACGCCATGTGAGCACAGCAAGTTGGCAGCTGTCTGTAAGCCAAAAAGCCCTCACCAACTGAACCTGCTGGCCCCTTAATCTTGGACTTGAGCCTCCAGAACCTTGAGTAATAAGTGTGTGGTGTTGATAAACCACCCAGTGTGTGGTATTTGTCACAGCAACCAGAGCGAAGACAAAGAGGTGTAACTGTAGTAATACCTAGTGCTGTGTAATAAACCAGTCCAAAATTCAGTGGCCTAAAACAACTACCAGTTAGTGCTTCCTGTGAAAAATAATTATTTCTCATGACCCTAGGGTCAGCTGGGGGATTCTGTTGATCTGGACTAGGATCCGTGATTTCAGCCGGGCTTGCTCGTGTGCCTGCAGTAAGCTGGGGGCTGGTCTGGGGTGGCCACAGCTGATGATACAGCTCGGCTCCATGTGGTGTCTCCTCCTCCAGGCTGGCTCAGGCTTGGGATCCAGGTGGAGACAAGGATCCTAGAAGAGAAACAAACATGTTGAGGCCTTTTGAAGCCTCAGCTCAGAAGTGGCATGACCTCATTTCCACCACGTTCTATCATGCAAAGTCCCCGGATTCAATGAAAGGAGACAGACTCCACCCTTGATGAGAGGAGCTTCAGGGACATGGGGACAGGAGGCTAACTGAGCCCATCACTGCAGTCAGACTTCTGGACTGCTTAATTAGCCTCACTTTAGGAAAAAAGAATTAGGTTCAGAGAAGTGAAATTCCACTTCGAACAGCCTCCAGGGTCCCGCAGGGATGTCTGTGGTCTGTGTGTCTGTCTCCCCCTGAAGATGGGGGGATAGGTAAGTTGACAGCCACTGTGCCAATCTGTGATGTGCCCTACAGGGTGTTATGTTTTGGTCCTACAGAGGGTGCCCCAGGCCCAAGTCTGGCAGTGCCCTTGGACGTGTCTGATCAAGTGCTGGTGAGCCATGAGCCTGTAGCCCACTGTACTCAGGCCAAGCTGCTAAAAGTTCTCCCTCCTCACCCAGCCCCTGGGTTTGTGACACAGATTGGAGGAAGGAGAGTAAGGCATGCATAGCGTGTCCCGGAGCTTGAGGACAGCCCCTTGTTCAAGGAACCAGGCAGACACATCAGGTTTTCATTCCTCCTTCCAGATGTGTAAATAACCAAGGTCACAGGTTCCTCCAGGGACCTTGTGTTCAATTCCACCTGGAAGTTTCATTTTGTATTTTCTGTTCTCTTAATGCACCAAGCAGCCCCTGCGCTGCTTTGATGTTTCGCTCACAGAGTCCAAGGGTAGGCGGTCGTGACAGGAGCCTGGACAAGCTCCCAGACATCTTAGAATCGCTTTGGCATATTCCAAGACACAGTTCTGGGGCCTGGCTGCAGGTCGGAATGTCTTCCCCAGGAATGCTCTATGACTCCCAGACCTGCCGAATCAGAATTTATGAGGCAGGAAGGTCCAGGAATTTATAGGGAGGACCCCTGGGGGTCCTGAGGCAGTGTGCTATGGAGAATCCTTGTCCGGAAGGCATTGGACCTGGCTCCTGGCCTTGGGGGAGGAATCGGTCTGAGGGGGCCTCTGGGCCACAGGGGAGCCCTGGTGTGTCTGCCCTCTGGGCCCAAACCTCAGGGGCTTCCAGGGAGGCAGTTCTGCTCAGACAGACGTCAGCAGTGACCGTGGCTCAGACCTGGTCCCAGCTCACCCACCCCAGGGAGCTCTGCCTTAACGCCTGCCACACCCAGGAGTCAGATGGCCGTCCCTTTGAGAGTCTCCACTCAGCTCCAGAGAAATCCACGCAAAGTCAGGTAGGGAGTGAGTGTGCTGTGCCAGAGCAGGCCTGGGCCACTCCCTCCCTGGCACTTGGCAGTGTTGGGCAGGGCTGGGAAACGAACCAGTGTAGACAGGTGGCCCCAGTGCAGTCACACAAAGGAACCACACCTCCTGTGCTCCCCCAGGTGAGTCCTTGGCCTCCTGCTCCAAAACAAGGGAGCCTTTTCAGAATCCCATGATGCATGTGGCCGCCAGCACCACTGCCCCAAGTCCCCAGGGAGCTCACAGGAAGGACAGGTGGCATCCTGGATAGAGCCCTCCCTCCCTCCTGATGCCAGGACTGTGGCCGTCCACAGGCACTGTGCGGGGATGTGGAAAAAACCCTAGGAGACAAAGCAGATAAGCCTGGGAAAGACGGAGAGCAGGGCCTTCACCTCCACCTGGAGGATGCCTGGCAAGCAGAATCCAGGGACCCACCCTGAAGATTCCAGGCAGTGCTGCGTGGGCCTCTGGGATCTGCACTTAATACGACGTAAAGGGCGCATACACCTGTTAAGCCCGGTGCGCACAGGCAGTGGTTGAATGGTGTCCCTTCAGAATTTGTGTCCACCCAGAACCTCAGACTGTAACCTTATTTGGAACTAGGGTCTTTGCAAATGTAATTAGTTAAGGATCTCAAAATCACAGAGATTTAGAGTGGGCCCTAAATCCACAACAGGTGTCCTTGTAGGAGGAGACACACAGAGGAGGTCATGGGGAAGATGGAGGCAGGCGCTAGAGGATGTGGCCACCGGGCAAGGACACCTGGAGCCCCAGAAGCTGGAAGAGGCAGGAAGGACCCCCTAAAGCCTCAGGAGGGAACACAGCCCTGCAGCACCTTGACCTCAGACTTCAGGCCTCCAGACTGTGAGACAATCAGTTTCTGTTGTTTTAAGCCACCAAGTTTATGTCAATTTGTTACATCAGTCCTGGGAAACTAATACAGTGTATCTGTGCTTTATTTTTTTTTTAATGTGATTTCTTTGCATCCCCCCGAGAACCAATTTGTGATCCCATAAGCATGATATTACCCTCGTTGAAAATGCTCTTGAGTCTTATCAACAACTGCTGAGTGATTTTTGAACAAGCCCAGGGAAACCTCCAGAGGCTTAGGAAGTAGAGAATAGAGGTATATCCACATCTAAAATGTTTAATGTTTCTGGAGCAAATGATCAGGCAAATAAGAAACATCATGTTTTACTGGCTGGAACAAACCGCATGGAAAAGAATCAAGACTATTCTCGTGGAACAATTCATTTTACATGGTAGGGGTGGGGGGAATTCCAGAGAGTACAGGGGAGGAAAAAAGTCTCAAACTGCCCTTATTTCAACCTGTGGACAGAACATTCTCTAGTTGGTTCAGGAAAGTACCACTCTTTAAGCAATGCTCTTTCCCCTGATCAGTGGATCTGCCCAGAAAACACAAGCAGGTTCTGAAAGGGAAAATCAGAGGGAAATAAGTCCCAGATGCATGTTGTGCTGAGCTGTCTGTCCCGTGAAAGCAGTGACAGGCATCTTCAGGAAGGAGTCTGGCGTCTTTGGGTGAGAAGCATGGAATAAAGCAACCACTGACTTGTATCACATGCTTTCTGTGAACTGGGCACTGGACACAGGCCTCATAGCCACTCATTTCATCCCACCACAACCCAATGAATGAGGTAGGCACTGCTATCCCCATTTTACAGATGGGGAAACTGAGGCACAGAGCGGCTAAGTTACCTGCTGCAGGTTACACAGCTACTGAAAGGAAGGCTGAGGTTTGAACCCCACCCCACCTAAATTTGAAGGCCCAGGCTCCTAAATTCAGTGCCTGGAAAGGTCCTATTGCTAACGGGGTGTTTCTATCCTGATCATAACAGGCTAACAAACCAGATGGGGAAAGACGCAAGCCAAGGAGCTTCCAGCCCTGGGTCGGGAAATTTAGAAACAAGAGCTCAGCCGCCTGTCCTTGGATTTTTAATTCTAAGCCTCCCGAAGGCGGGAATGGCGTGTTTGATGATGCCCCACTGTGGCCCCAGAGACCTCCAGCAAGGGAGAAGACCTGCAGCAGACACCGCCATGGCCACGGATTGGGGTGCATCTGGAGGGAATGCTGGGAATAGGGACCCCAGCACCCTGGCCAGGAGTCCACAAACGGGGCCAATCAGAGCCCTCCATGGGATTTGAGGTGAAGGGTGTCTCTCTCGGCCATGGAGGCTGTAAGCCCTGTGGTTGTGGCTTGGAGCTGCTAGCAGCCACCTTTGCC